AGGAGGAGGATTTGTTGCAACGTCAACGCCAGAGAAGCACTGGGTCAGCGGGGGGCCAGGCCTGGACCTGACCAGACCTGGACCCCCCGGCCGCGCTGCCGAAGAAGACGCGGAAGGCTTAGTCGACGCACCACGCCGGCGAGCCGAGGAGGGCAAGCTCCACGACCGCGAGCACGAGGAACCACACCAGGGCCTCCTCGAGCATCAGGAAGAGGGCGGCATGCCGAGGGCCCGCCTGACCCGCACCCGCACGTCCTCCTTCGCAGGCCCCCTGGACTCCCACGGCACGAACTGCCGCACCTCGATGCCCGTCGCCGCCGCCGCACCAGCAACAGCAACACAAGGCCCGCACGGCGCAGCAGGCTCCGTCCGCCCCACCTCCCAGCCGCGGCGCCGCCCGCTCAGCCCTGCAGCGCCGCCAGCGGCGGCGACGGCAGGACCCCCGCATAGCAGTCAATCAGACCAGGAGTCGTCGTCCAGCTCGGCGTCGATGTCGGGCGCGTCGGCAGCAGCCCCAGCCACCTGTACGAGCGCGAAGCCCGCGCTGGCCGCCCCAGCGGCCGCCCCAGCGCCCTCCTTCTTCGCCTCGTTAGTCTCGGTGTCCAGCCTGGCAGCCGCGCGCCTCGCCGCTCGGCGCTGGCGGCGGCGGCGCCGCCACGCAGCACGCGCAGAAGGGTCAGCTTCAGGACGATCACCTTGATCCAGGTCGGTGCCAGCGTCATCGGCGGGCGGTGGCGATCCCGAGACGGCGAACGCCGCCGCCGAGACCGCCGAGCGAGCCACCGCCGCCACCGTGCGCCGCGGCGCCCCGAGCGCCCCGCGCACGGCCGCCTCGACGAGGCGGGCAGCCGTCGCGGGATCCAGAGCCCCTCTAGCCCGACGCGCGGCCATCGCGGGGACGGCGGGGCGCGCACCAGGCATGCGAACGCTTGAGACAAAATGGCTACGGAGGAGGAGGAGGAGGAGGAGGAGGAGGAGGAGGAGGAGGAGGAGGAAGGTAAGGAGGGGGAGGGGGGAAGTGCAGGAGGAGGAGGAGAGGAGGAGGCGGAGGAGGAGGAGGAGAAGGAGGAAGAGAGCGGGAGGAAGAGTGGGGGAGGTGATTTGGAGGAGGAGGAGGAGGAGGAGGAGGAGAGGAGGAGAGGAGGGAGGAGGAGGAGGGAGGAGGGGGGAGGATGGAAGGAGGACGAGGAGAGGGAGGAGGAGGGAGGAGGATGGAGGAGAGGGAAGAAGGAGAGAGAAGGAGGAGCGGAAGGAGGGGAGGAGGAGGAGGAGGAGAAGCAGGATGAGTAGGGAGGAGTTAGGCGGGGAGAGGTGGAGGAGGAGGAGGAGGAGGAGGAGGAGAGGAGGAGGAGGAGGAGAAACAGGAGAGGAGGAACAGGCGGAGGAGGAGGAGGAGGGGAAGAGGAGGAGAAGGAGGAGGAGGAGGAGGAGGAAGGAGGAGGAAGGCGGAGGAAGGAGGAGGGGAAGGAGGAGGAGGAGGAGGAGGAGGAGGAGGAGGAGGAGGAGGAGGAGGAGGGAGGGAGGAAGGGAGGGAGGGAGGGAGGGATGCAGGAAGGGAGGGAGGGAGGGAGTGAGGGAGGGAGGGAGGAGGAGGAGTAGGAGGAGGAGGGGGAGGAGGACAGACAGTGTTCTTGGACACGAGCGTGACCTGCGCGCACACCGGCACCGCGCCGCGCCAGCAGGCTCGCTCGAACAAGGACGGCCTCGCCGCCACCAACGCGGAAGACGCCAAGCGGGAGCGCTACCCGCCCGAGGGGGGCCAGATCATCCCGGTCATCTTCGAAACAGGAGGTCGCCCGGGAGACGCCACCGTGGCGTATGTCCGCTCCTGGGGTCACGACATGGCCCCTGCGGAGCGGACAGAGGTCATCCGCTATGGATGGCATCAGCTCAGCACCCGGCTGCATCTCGGCAACGCCGAGACTATCTTGGCGGCCGTCGGGCGCTGAGGCTCTACCAGGAGCGCCCCGACCCTCTTGAGCCGACGCTAGCGGGAAGGCGCTAGCAGGGTCACTGCCCGCGGCAACACCAGCGTTGACAACGGCGCAGGGACCGCGACACCGACGACGGCGACGGCTGCGCGGCTGCTGCCCCCCGCCCCCCGCGCTCCGCCGCCCCCGCCCCCCACCACCGACGACCGCTACGATGGCGACGATGGCGGCCGAAGCCTCCCGCCCCCCGGACCCCGCCGCGGTGGCCTCCGCCCTCCGCCCCGCCGACGTGATTCGACGCCCCCTCTCTTCCCCCTCTCCTTCGGCCGGTCGCCCCTGCTTGCTTTTCCCTGCGCTCTGGCTGCCGCTGTCCTACTTCCTCCTCCCCCCGTTTCACCTGCAGCGCGGCGCGCAACCAGGAGGGAGGTCTAGCGCCGACCCAGGAGGGGTCCGTGCGGGCCCCCGTTTAGCAGGTGGACTGTTCGGGACTACCTACCCCCCTGCTGCTGCTGCTGGCCCGCCTCTGTCCCTTCTCTCCTTCGGTGTGGAGGAGGAGGAGGAGGAGGAGGAGGAGGAGGAGGAGGAGGAGGAGGAGGAGGAGGAGGAGGAGGAGGAGGGGAGGAGGATGGGAGAGGAGACAGAAGGGGAGGAGGGGAGAAGGAGGAGGAAGAGGAGGAGGAGGACGAGGATGACGGGAGGAGGCAAGGGAGGAGGAAGACAAGGGAGGAGAATAGGAGGCGGAGGCGGAGGAGGATGGAGGAGGAGGAGGAGGAAGGAGGGAGGAGGAGCAGGAGGAGGAGGGAGGAGGGGGAGGGGGAGCAGGAGCAGAGGGAGGAGGAGGAGGAGGAGGAGGAGGAAAAAGTGAGGAGGAGGGAGGAGGAGGAGGAGGAGCGGAGGAGCAGAAGGAGGAGGAGGAGGAGGAGGCGGAGGAGAGGAGGAGGAGGATGCAGGAGGAGGAGGGGGAGGAGGAGGAGGCGGCGGCGGCGGGCTCATCAGGTGCACGGGTGTCTGTAACTCAGCGCCAGTGGAAAACTGCCCAGCACTGTTTCAAGACCCAAGCACCTCGAGTGCGCTCGAAAGCGGGCAGTGCCTAGGGGGGGGCAAGAACGCCCCACGGTGGACTCCAGCCTCGGAGATATCCCTGGAGCCACCGAGCGTCCCCGACAAAACTTGGATGCTACTACAGTAGGCCGAGACGAAAATGGAACGCAAGCGAAAGTGATAATCAATTCGGGCCCAACTCTATCCCTGCGTCCTTCGGTGCGTAGGGAGGAGGGAGGAGGGACGAGGGAGGAGGGAGGAGGAGGAGGAGGAGGAGGAGGAGGAGGAGGAGGAGGAGGAGGAGGAGTTTTTTTCACCAGCGCTGCACTGCCCACAATCAAGCGAGCAAAAAGTTGAATGGCTCCACCTGTACGTGGTCCAATTTGGGATGCTTACCCTTCAGAAGCTTATTCCAAGCTGAAGCGGCAAAATTGGAAATCGCTTTCTTACGTCTGAAATCAGCATCTGTAAGGCAATCTTTGGCAAGATTGCGGAACTGGCCTCCTGTTGTATATGCCTTGCATCTGGAGCAGGCGTATAGCAACGTACCGTCGGTGCAGGAGAAGACCTTAAGCGAGTGCTTACGCTGCCCAATCGCGAGGGCATCAGCGGGCAGCTCACCAGAACAGTTCTCGATCGGAGGCTTCTGCTCACAACGTCGGCTCTTCAAACAGCGCTGGCATCTCCAAACCGAGCGGCACCACAGCCACTCGTGACAAATACCAGTCGAATTCGACGCCTTGGGGCGGGGAGGATGAGGAGTCCGAGGTACGCCATCGAGATCAAGTCTCGGCCAGACAGGCATCAGGCGGGCGGCCAAGGCACAGACCTTGCGGGCAACCGCGACTTTATCGTCGATCACCTGCAACTCGTTAGGTGAAGCCCTGGGATGGGTCCAAGCACCTCTCTTGGCCGCCTTATCCGCCTGATCATTGCCCTGCTTATAGAAAAGCCCGTCGGCTGAAAGCGAGCCATCGTCCACAACATGAGCCTTTACTTTGTGGACTTGTGAGTACATACTATTCGACATGTTTAAAAGGGCTCCCGCGTAGAGCTTCTTATAAGAGACCTGCACGGGAGCAGGGGAGTTAAACGCGAGGACCACATTGGCACAATCGGAGTAACCCGTCGAAGGCCCACAAAGGAGCTCATTGGTGGCCCCTAAACCGCAAAACTCACCAGCCTGGGAGGTTTGGGGGAGAAAACTGGGAACGGGACCCGAAAGAGTGCACAAAAGCTGCCGTTGATCGTCGTAGACCGCTGCCCCCCAGCCGGCCCTAGACATCTCCTTGATGGGGCTTTGAGACCTGACCCGTCGAAGAAGATGTGCCCTTGGATGTTCACAGAAGTGTTGTCTGGGTCGTCTACCCACTGCACCGACATACCGCCTCCAGCCACTGGCCCTGGTACAGACTCGCCAGGATGCTGAAAGATGCCCTTGGTGAACAGATTCCAATCTGGGCTGTCGGGAGTGATGGCACCAGCGCGGGCGATCAACTCATCGTCCACTACATCTAGCCGCTGCTCACTAACAGCCGGACACTTCCACAGACGGGGATGCATAGTATCTTCCGCAGCACCGCACATGGGACAGAGATTGTCATCAAGCAAGTAGCCCGCATCTGTGGCCCTGGTCTCAGTCCAGGAAGCTCCACATACCAGACTGCGAATACAACCCTTTTCGAAATTAGACCACTTCTTCTTCTGAAGTTCCTGGAGGACAATGTCGTAACATGCCCTGTCTGCGCCCATCCCCAGAGCGGCTCCCGACAGCTTCTGAAGGTGACGAATGACTCCTTCCCTCAAAAACCTTTTGAGCATCCTGGGGGAGGTGTTGGTCAGACCTACGGACACCTGCTGGTCCGTGACAATGGTGGTGAAATCGATCATGTTCCACCCGATCCTTGACAGGGAAGCCCTAACCGCCGAAAGAGGTCCAGACACTTTCTTCCAAGAGATCGGAGGACCTCCAAAAGCCGAGTCCCAGGACGCCCTCAGAACCGGGAAGGGGACCGAAAACGCGTACTGCCTAGTACTGGTGAGCCAGACCTCTTTCGCATATCTCAAAGTCGGCGCCGTCGCCGCGTAGTAGCAAGGGTCGTGCTCTAAGATGGTGAGCGACGTGAGGCTGCGCGAGCCCGCGGAGGGCTTGACACACTTGCCGAAAGAGCGGCGCAGCAATTTGAGCTCGTGGTCGGAGGTGCCGTGGACCTCCGCTCCGAAAGTGGCTCCTGCTAAAGGTCCGGCAATGAAGATCTTCCGCGACCACTTCCCGAGAGCCTCCCTGGATTTCCTGAATCTCTTAACCCTGGCTTTAAAGGTCCTGGCCCTGGATGCCCACTTCTTGCCCTTCTTACCGGAGCGTCTAGCCTTCCCTGCAGTGTCGTCGATCCCCAAGTTCACCGCCGACTCCTTGGCAGGACCTCCTGCGAATCGGCCCAAAAACTGAACGAGCTTGTGGCCTAGCGAAGGAATGGACGCGATGACAGAAGCCTTGTCTTCAGCAACGCTGCAATGCATATCAGTATGGATTGCTGTCATGAGCATAGTGGTGGTTTCTTTAAGGCCTATGCTGACAGACGACTCCGTTCCGACCGAACTAACTCCATAGTCGTCTATGTAAATGTCCAAGAACACATCCCGAGGAATGGGGAGCGGGTCGATGACGGGTATAAGGTAAATGGGCACGAAGGTGGTGGCCATCGAACAGCCCGCAACGACTCCATTTATCGAATAAAAGGGCCCCACAGACAGAGAAGAGAGCGTTAAGAACCTAGCTCCACGATAGGCCGTCATACAAACTCGCGTAATCTGTGATGGAAAACCTAGCTGCTTGGCCCGGGCCTCGACCAGCGGCAAATGTATGCCCTCGTAGAACTTGAACAAATCCCAGAGCACGGAAGCTGCCGCTTTGCCTTCACGAACTCCTAGCTCGCTGCGAAGCGCCTGCCTCCATACCACATCAGAGGCCCCATTAGAGGCCGCGGCCGCGAGGTAACTCCGAGAATTCGCGAGCTCCCACGAGGAAGCTAACTTACGACGGGCCCTACCCCAGAGCCGGTACCCCGAACTGAACAGGCCGATAGGCCTAAAGCCCCCCTGGGGCTTGGCTAAAAGCGCCATCTGCAACACCTGCAAGTGGTATGGAAGAAGGCCCGTGGCTTCAATCAGCTGGAGCAGAATACTGAAAGCCTCGAGGCAGCCGTCCGACATGCTAGCATAATGGCGCATGTGGAACCCGTCCACCGAGATGGCCGTGGCAGTGGAATAGGAGCGACTAACCTTACGAATGTCATCGGCCGCGAGGATCTCAAGGGGCTCAAGAATCTCCAGCGGCTTGTCGATGACGTCTGGCTCCTTGTCAGCTTGCCAAAGACCTGCAAAACGGGCCGCCTCTGTCTCCAACAGGGCGAGAGGGTCGGACACAAGGTGGCCGTGCTTCGACAGGGTCGTGGTCGGCGTCCAAGGCTTGCACTCCTTAGTCCACCTGTGGGCCCTCCTTCCTCCTTTAGTGATGCCGTCCAAGAGCCAAGCCTGCCAGTCTTTAAAACTGCGGTCTCGGGCCGCCGCCGAAAACTTACCGAGGGAGGAGGAGGAGGACGAGGAGGAGGATGAGGACGAGGAGGAGGAGGCGGAGGAGGAGGAGCAGGATGGGATCAGGAGGAGTAGGAGGAAGAGAAGGATGAGGAGGAAGAGAAGGACGAGGGGGAGTATGGGGAGGATGAGGAGAAGGAGGAGGAGAAGGAGGAGGAAGATGTGGGAGGCGGGGTGGCGCAGGAGAAGTTCGACACCATCCTTCAGTATCTCGGCAAGGAGCTGAAGGAGCGCCCTGTGGTAGACCCGAAGGAGTGGCTGCCCCGCCCGCCTTCCGCCCCAGGATGAGGAGTCGGAGGAGGAGGAGGAGGGGGCGGAGGAGGAGGAGGCGGCGGAGTAGGCGGGGGATGCGACGACCACGATGATGATGCTGATCTTGATGATGCTGATGATGCTGCTGCTGATGATGCTGATGCTGCTGATGCTGATGAAGCGGCTGATGCTGCTGCTGATGATGATGACGAATATGCTGATGCTGATTGTGAGGCTGACGATGCTGATCATGTTGGTGATGCTGACGAAGATTGTGATGATGATGCAGATGCTGTTGCTGCTGATGATGATGCCTACGGCTGCTGCTGATGATGGTGATCGTGATGGTGATGATGATGATGCTGGTGATGATGATGACGATTAGGATGATGAGGATGCTGCTGCTGCTGATGATGATGATGATGATTCTGAGTCTGATGGTGATGATGATGCGGATGCTGATGATGGTGATGATGGTGCTGCTGCTGCCTGTGATGACGATGCTGATGCTGATGTTGCCGATGCTGATGATGCTGCTTCCGACGACGATGCTGATGATGATGGTGATGATGCTGATGCTGTTGTTGATGATTCTGGCGATGATGATTACGATGGTGATGATGGCGATGCTGATGATGGTGATGATGATGATGTTGCGGATGCTGCTGATGATGATGATGGTTCTGCTGATGATGCTGATGCTGCTGATGATGATGATGATGATGCTGCTGCTGATGATGATGATGATGATGATGATGATGATTATGCTGATGACGATGCTGCTGATGATGATGATGACGATGAGGCGATTGCTGCTGCTGCTGATTATGCTGATGCTGATGATGATGCTGAACATGGTGATGCTGCTGCTGATGCTGCTGCTGATGATGATGATGATGATAATGATGATGATGCTGATACTGATTCTGATGATGATGGTGAATCTGATGCTGATTATGATGCTGATGTTGATTATGATGATGATGCCGATGACGATGCTGCTGATGACGATGATGATGCTGATGATGGATGTGGTGGTGATGAGGATGATGATGCCCATGGTTCTGCTGCTGATGCTGCTGATGATGATGCTGGTGATGACGATGATGATGATGATGATGATGATGATGATGATGATGATGATGATGATGATGATGATGATGATGATGATGATGATGCTGCTGATGATGATGATGATGATGATGATAATGTTGATGATGATGATGATGCTGATTCTGATAATGATGATGATGATGATGATGATGATGATGATGATGATGATGATGATGATGATGATGATGATGATGATGATGATAACTGCTGCTGATTATGATGGTGATCATGGTGGTGGTGGTGGTGGTGGCAATTCTGAGGGACACGATGACACGGACGGTTGTGGTGGTTGTGGTGGTGGTGGTCATGATGAGGATGGAGTATGATGGTGGTGGAGGAGGATGAGGACGATGATGAGGATGAGGAGGATGAGGAGAATGAGGAGGATGAGGAGGATGAAGATGATGAGGATGATGATGATGAGGAGCAGGAGGAGGAGGACAAGGATGAGGATGAGGAGGATGAGGAGGAGGAGGAGGATGACGATGATGAGGAGGGTGAGGAGGATGACGAGGATGCGGAGGATGAGGATGAGGATGAGGATGAGGATGAAGATGAGGATGAGGATGATGAGGATGAGGAGGAGGAGTAGGAGGAGGAGGAGGAGGATGATAATCAGGAGGAGGCGGAGGAGGAGGAGAAGGAGGAGGAGGAGGAGGCGGAGGAGGAGGAGGAGGAGGAGGAGGAGGACGGAGAAGAGGATTAGCTTACTATCGCGTCGCGCACGCATCCCGTTTCTTATGAGGATCGCTTGGGGTGTGTGGGGCGTGCTCAAGGGCGCTCCCATGCACCCCGGACCCCAGCGCCCCCAACACCTGCCCCGCCTGCGCCCAGAGGGATACATCCCCATCCGCCAATGCCCCCGTGTGGCCCCTTTCAGAGTCGACCCTCGGACCTCTCCTGGTGCGTGCTCCGACCAGAGTCTCCGCGGCGAGCCCAGCCGTCGCGACGAGGAAGGCCTCCCTCGAGAGGCCCGACTGCGGCAAAAGACAGGAAGCGCCGATGGCGCGGGGTGGCGCACCTCGGCCGACTGGCCGAGTCGGTTGAGACGGCCCAGCGCTGCGCCGTCGGTCGATCGTTGGGTGTCGCGTCATGGGGGGGGGGAAATTCGGTTGGCAGCGAGTAGGGCCCCCTCTGGGGCCCCTTCGGGCCCCAGAGGGGCCTTGTGGCTTTTGTGCCCGAATTTTTGTTTGTTTGTGTGTGTGTGTATATATATTGATATTATAAAAAAGGCTGTTGTTGCCGTCGCCGTCGCCGTTGGTGTCGTCGTCGTGGTCGTCGTCGTCGTCGTCGTCGGCGTCGCTGGTGGCTTCGTTGCCGTCGTCCTTGTCCACGTCCTCTCGGTCGCCCTCGTTGTCTTTCTTCCCTCCTCCTGCGTAAGGTTGACCAAACCGTGTGTGTGTGTGTGTGTGTGTACCACCTCTGTTTTTGGCCTTGTACATCTTCGGTATTTGTTTTCTTGTTGTTTGTTGTTTTCGTCATCCTTTGGATGGAGCGTTACAGCGATGTGTATTTTGTGGCAGTTAGTTCAAGGGACTCTTCATGTGTAGCGGATTACAAATTGAATCCTCTTGTGGCGTAATACAAAAATATTTCTTTTGTGGCGATTGCAGCTGGGTTCTATTTGTGCCTGATTGCACATCTATTTTTTGTGGTGGATTACACATTGATTCCTCCTGTGGGGAATTCCAAATTGATTTCTTTTGTGGCGGATTACACATTGATTCCTTTTGTGGCGGATTACGAAAGGAATCCTTTTGTGGTGGATTACAAGTTGATGTCTTTTCTGGCGGATTACAAAAGGAATCCTTTTGTGGCGGACTACATATTGATTCATTTTGTGGAGGTATGTAGAAGGAAACCAGGGGGAGAAACACACATCAATGGAAAACTATGGGTTAACAATGTTTTTGGTGTCGAATTCTCAAAACAAATGTTGAATCCTAAGAAAGATATTAGAAAACACGTCGTTTTCAGCATCCCGAGCTCCAAAACGCTTATATATACATATATATATATATATATATGTAGGTGTCTATTATTATTATTATTATTACTATTATGATTATTATTTTTTAGTATTGTTGTTATTATTATTTTTTGTTTTACAGCAAAACACATCGTTTTGGAGCTCTGGATGCTGAAAGCGCTGGGTGTTCCACATTTTGTCAGAGCATTTCGACACTAACCAGATTGAACGCATAGCATTTTTTCAGTTTCCATTGATTTTTTTCCCACCCCCCTTGGTTTCCTTCTTCATACCCCCACAAGAGGAATCATCTTGGAATCCGCCACAAAAGGGATTCCTTTTGTAATTCGCCACACAAGGAATCAACCTGTAATCCGCCACAAAAGGAATCAGTTTGTAATTCGCAACAAAAGGAATCAACATGTAATCCACCACGAAAGGAATCACTTTGTAATCTGCCACAATGAATCAATTTGTAATTTGCCACGAAAGGAATTAAGTTGTACCCCGCCACTAAAGGAATTCTTTTGGAACGCGCCACAAAGGGAATCAATTTGTAAACCCCACAAAAGAAATCTGGTTGCTATCTGTAACAAAAGGAAGCCTTTTGTAAGCGGATGGAGAGAGAGAGAGAGAGAGAGAGAGAGAGAGAGAAAGAGAGAGAGAGAGAAGAAGAGAGAGAGAGAGAGAGAGAGAGAGAGAGAGAGAGAAGAGAGAGAGAGAGAGAGAGAGAGAGACAAAGAGAGAGAGAGAGAGAGACAGGGAGGGAGCGTGCAGGCTTCGCGGCTGCAAACGCTTACCGCTGCCCGCAAGAGCAGCTTGAGGCAATGAGAAGGGGGATGTTCTGCGCATTCTTCTCTTATTTTTTTGGCGGGGTGGGGGGGGGGAGCACACAAGCATGAGGTTCCCCGGTTCGCTTGAACACGTTTCGAGGGTATGTGTTTCTGAACATTGAAGGGGGAGCGATTTGTGGATCCTTTTGGGGTGCTTTTTGGGTGCCTTGATAATGCGATCCATGGGCCGCTTTGAGTAATCATTGTTTTTCGTAATCGCACATTTCAATAGCACATGTAGCACTTTTCGATGACATATTTGTTTCTTGCTGTTTGGTGTGGGCGATTTGAGCTAACCCGATCAGGGACACCAGGACGACCGCGTTCGATGCATCCTCAGCGTGAGATGCGGGGAGGCGGTATTGCACGTGGAGCCGAAACCTTCAGAAGGCCTCCCCCACGTGCTTTCTGTGTTGAGAAAAGCGGTGCAGGATGAGGCACACAGCGGCCTCACCATCCATTGCGGTCGCTCTGATTCCTTAGATTGCTCTGATCTGTTTGCGCATGTTCCGAAGCTTCAGTGCGTGTGCAGAGACCCGCTGCACGTCGCCCTGAAGGTAGAGCAGGCTTTCGGGGGAAAAGGTAGCGCCGTGTTCGGTCGCAATCCGTAGGTGTTTGGAGAAGTTCCCCAAGGGTTCTCCATTTGGCAACTCGCACTATTATGAGAAGCCAAGGGGCGATGGCGACTCGAAGCTGGGAGGCACGATTTCGTCCATGACCCCTGGGCGGTCTCCTGGAACAGATTGCGGGGCCTACGTGCCAAGCGAGGTCGTGCGCGAGTATGGGTCATTTCGTGCGCGACATTGCTGCCATGTGTTTCGTACATCCTGCAGCTATGCGACGCCGCACAGAAAAGGGGGCATTGTGCTTTCGTCGCTCCAGGGCGCTACAACCAAGCAGAGCGTTAGGTATTTGATCAAAGCATCTTTATTTGTGCATAGAAACCCAGATGCTCCACACATGTACGGTACTACCTTGCTGGAGGCCTTCGTGTTCCGGCTGACATCATCTCCCAGGAATGTGTTTCACCGGGCGCGGCGCCATGCATTGATCTTGTGCAAGGTTGCCACGGTGAGCAAAATTTTCGGCGCCTACGCGCGCACTGCATTCCCAGGCATGAGCATGCGGGAGCATGAGGCCTTGCTTTGTTTCTGTCAGAATCTACTTGCCAGCGATGTAGATCCTGAGCCAAAGCTTCGCATCAAAATGCAAGCTAACCCCTGCGTCGTCGAAGCTGAATTGCCGCCGAGCGCAAAGCGCTTGCGCAATCATCGAGCACGTGTTCAAATGATGCTAATTCTGTGATGACACGTTCGCATGTGCAAAAGCCGCTCCGTTTTCATATCGCCATCACTGCAACGCCGTGATCGCCGTTGCCATGCCAATGACTTCGATGTACGGATCATTGTCCATAAGTTACCAAGTCGGTGGGATGTCTGGAACCCGATAGCGATTCCTTGAGATCGTACTACTTGATATTATGAAAAACATATGTACACACACGCACAGTTTTGTCAACTCCACCCCTCCTGCAGCTTCCTCCCTGCCCCTTGCGTCCCTCTCATTGCTCCTTTTCCTTCCCCTTCTCACCCTCTTTCTGCTATCCACTCCTGCCTCTGCTCCCCTCTCCTTCCCTCCTCCACTTTCCTCCTCCTCTCCTCCTCCTTCCCCCCAGTCCTCCTCCACCTCCTCCTCCACCTTCTCCGTCTCCATCTTCTCCTCCACCTTCTCCTCCACCTCCTCCCTCCTCCTTCTCCTCCGCGTCCTCCACCTCCCCTCTCCCTTCCTCCTCCTCCTCTTCCTCCTGCTGCTGCTGCTGCTGCTGCTTCTCCTCCTCCTCCTCTTCCTTCTCCCCCTGGCCCCCCCTCGTTTTTTTTTTTTTTTTTTTTTTTTTTTTTTTTTTTTTTTTTTTTTTTTTTTATTTTTTTTTTTTTTTTTTTTTTTTTTTTTTTTTTTTTTTTTTTTTTTTTTTTTTTTTTTTATATATATAGATAATATATATTAAAAAAACAAAGATTTTCTCTCTCTCTCTCTCTCTTTCTTCTCTCTCTCTCTCTTTTTTTTTTTTTTTTTCTCTCTCTCTCTCTCTCTCTCTCCCCCCTTCCGCGCCTCCTCGCCGCTGTTGTTCTGTGGTTGCCAGCCCCCGGTCTACGAGCAGGCAGCTCTTGCACGTCAGAAGTTGGCGCCATGCGGTGTACGTGCACCGTGGCGGCAACGAGCGGCAACGTCCTCCCCTGTCTTCCTCCGCTCGCGCCCAACTTGCCGTCCAGCGCGCCTGGGCTGCTCGACCGACCTTCGCGCTCGCCCGGTTTGCGATGTAGCATTTTTCATTTTACCCCCCCAACCATCTTGTGGTGCTGGGTCTTCGTTTTGAAGAGATCCCCGCGAATCCTCTTCCTCTCATCTCCTCTCCTCTTCTTCTTCCTCCTTCTCCTCCTCCTCCCCCTCCTCTTCCCGTTCCCCCCCCTCACTTTGGCACGCCCCTTACACGTTTCGTGGCCCCATCGGGAGCTTCACCGAAGGCCAAATGCCAGCGCTCGCATGCGGCCACCGCCCCCATTTTGTCACACCCTTCGCGCGTTTCGTGGCCCCGTAAGGAGTTCCACGGGAGGCCCACATGCCAGCGTTCGCATGCGCCCACCGCACCCAATGTGACACCCTTCGCACGTTTCGTGGCCCCATATGGAACCCGACCGAAGGCTCACATGCCAACGCTCGCATGCGCCCACCTCGCCCATTTGGCACGCCCCTCACACGTTTCGTGGTCCCATAGGGAGCTCCACCGAGGGCCCAAATTCCAGCGTTTGCACGCGCCCACCGCACCCATGTTGGCACACCCCTCACACGTTTCGTGGCCCTGTAGGGATTTCCACCGCAGGCCCAGATGCCAGCGCTCGCATGCGCCCACCATCACCCATTTGGTCACACCCCTCGCGCGTTTCGTGGCCCCATAGGGAGCTCCACCGAATGCGTTGCATACAAAAGACGGTGCCCACAACTGTATATGGTCGGGTCCTTCGCCAGGGTGTTGTTTGGGTTTTGTTTTGTTTTTGTTAGTTTTCCCCTTCGGCGCCACCGTCTGCAATCACTCAATATGAGACTACCCACCCCTCTCCACCAGAGGATGCGCCAGCGTGTCCCCGCCTCTTTCGCGTATGGTTGTTCGCGCACCAGGATTTGATCAGTCGCTATGCCATGTGCTTTTCACACGACGCGTCTCTGGCCGCCCCGAAGGGCGCTCCCGCATTCTGCCAGTACCCACTTTGAACTCGGCTCTCCCCTTTCGGATCCTTTCCCAGCATGCTCCCGCCTCTTCGGGCGTCTTTTGTTGCCACACGAGGGTCTCAGCAGTTAAAACATCTGACGCGCTTTTCCGCTCGGGCCGTTTTCGCCCTACCCGAAGGGCGCTGTCGCTTTGGCGCCTGCCGCGCCCACGCGAGTGCCACTCTCCCCCGTCTTCTCCGACAGCGGGCGGTGTCTGGACGGTCGGCGACGGCTCTCGAGCTGCCCCGCCCCCGGCGCCGGGGCTCCTCCGCCACCTTCCCCCCCAGTCCTCATCCTCCGCCTCTTCCTTGCCCTCCTGGGCCTCCTCCCCCCCCCCCTCTTCCTCCCCCTCCTCCTTCTCACAGGCGGAAGTACTAACCACCATATCACGGCGGATCTTGCCAGGTAAGAGATGGCGCGGCCTCACACGCGCTGGTGGGCGAGGGGGCCGCATGCTGATCGCTGGTGAACTGGTCCCGTTGGCCAGGCGCGCATCTGGGCCTCCCGGGCCCCTCGCCGCAACGGCGGAGCGCGGTCCCCATCTCCACCGCGGCGCCGCCCCACGCGCGGGCGCGGGTCCCATTATCGCGGCGGTGCTGCCGCACGCGGGCGACGGTAGGTCCCGAAGGGGGGGGGAGGAGGGGAAGGAGGCCACCTTGCAAACCATCCTCTGTCCTGAAGCCACCGATCTAGGCCTCCGAGAAGAGGGTCGGAGTAGATGGGGTCGGAGGACGGCGACGCATCGCCGATGCATCGTCGATGGGGTTCAATTCGGGGCTTGATTTGCTTCACGTCGACGTCGCCGATGCATCGTCGACGTCGACGCTGCATCGCATGCTCATCACCAATGCATCGCGGATGCATCGCCGGTGTATCGGCGATGCGGCGCGATCCTCCGACCCCATCTAATCCGACCCCATCTAATCCGACCCCATCTGGGAGGCCTCTAACCGAGGATTGGGGGGAGGGAGTGAACGGCGGGTCCATCCAGGGGATGTGGCAGATGTAGTTGCCGCAGACGTAGTACCTTGGCGGCAACACTGTACACGGAGTAACTTGTCTGTAGCGCCGTAGACGTGGCACGCACACGTAATACCCTACGCAATACCCTTGGCCGTAGCGCTTGTCGGCATGAAAACAGGACAGTGTGCTGGAGTGCCACAATCTGCGACTTCTGGTCGGCCGGTCTCACCGTAACGATTGCGCCGTCCGAGCGTAGACTACGTCGAACAGGCTTCGAAGTGGAACATGTATAAGAAGAATTTGGCCACCCCTGGCTGGCATTCAAAGGCTTCGAGGTCTTATAAACGCCCGAGCACGTAGTTATTTGTCATCGGATCGTGATATTGCTAGGATCGAGCCGCGTCTGAGTACATGACGGCGAGTTGGTACTCTGAACGCTGATGACAGTCGATCCCGATCTGAACGCCCAGTGCTCTGTGGTGGTGTCCCACGCGCCCAGAGTACCCTCGAGGCCATTGTGGCGCTTCTGGCCTCCAAGCCCGACAACTCGAGCTAGCACCTCTTGTCGTAGTTCTGCGTATTCAGGTACTTCGGCTAGTTCTTGTAGTCCAGCCAGTTATGCTGGTGCTTCTCGTAGCTCAGGTGATTGCCCTCGTCGCTCCTCAGGTGGTCCTCGTAGCTCCGCCGTTGGCTCTGCTCGCGGCGGTCGTTCCTCAGCTTGTTGGCCAGGTAGCTCAGCAGGTGGTCCTTGTAGCTGTGCTGGTGGCCCTCGGAGGTCTGCCTGTGGCCCCTGCAAATGCCGCTCGTCGCCCTGGCAGCTCTGCGGGAGGCTCTCGTAGTTATGCTTTTGGCCCGCGTGCGTAGCTCAAGTTGTGACCCTCGTAGCTCGGAGACGGGCCTCGAGACGCCACAAGGCTCGAACGAGGTGGCCGCCTCGATCTCTTCGTGCGGAAGGAGGTCTGGGGTCTTCCCTTCCGCCTTCACAGTCCAGTCCAGGATGTGCTGGAGGTGCACGCCCTTCCTTCTCCTTCTCCTCCTCCTCGTCTTCCTCCTCGTCCTGTCCTCCTTCCACTCCTCCGTGGCCGCAGTCCTCTCTTCTCCCTCGTAGGAGGACTCTCCCTTCCCTCTTGCCTCCGCCCCGTGCTGGGGGGTCGCCCGGCGCCAGGGGGGCCCCAGCAACCGGGAGGTGGAGCTGGAGAAGCAGAACGGGGACCCGCTTCGGAGGAGGATGAGGAGAAGGAGGGGGGGAGGAGGAGAAGGATAGGAGAAGGAGAGAAGAAAGGAGGAGGAAAAAATGGAGGAGGAGCAGAGCAAGCCAGAGCAGTGTCAAGGATGCTACATTCTACTCTCCCGTCTCTTACGCCCCCTCCTCGTGCAGTCCCCACAAGCAGCATCTTTTTTCCTGCGAGAAGCGCCTCTTTGCAAGACGAGCGCCCCGTTTGAAGGAAACTGCCTTTTCATTTTTCGAGCTGTAAGATCTGCGACAACAAGGTGGGCTCATGTGGTTCGAGGAAGTGCTCCTCGGCAGCCCCGAACAGAAAAGGAACCGCCCTCCTTCTGTGTGGGTGTTGCAGCATTGTGAGCGTTTGGCTACGGGGAAAAACGGAAGAGCATGAGGACAATCATGATGTGGAGGATGCGTCGGATGCGGAGGGATTCGGAGGAAGGAGGAGTAGGAGGAGTAGGGGCAATATGATGATGATACTGGTGATGATGATATTGATGATGATGATGTTGATGATGACGATGATGATGATGATGATGATGATGATGATGATGATGATGATGATGATGATGATGAGCGAGCGACTGTGCAACACGCCTCTGTTGCACAGAGAAGGAATGTAGAATGTATCGTGTGGCGGCGCCGCGCGCACCTCATTGGGTCGTGTCGGTCGGTCTTTGTGGCCGCCGCTGTCGAGCCACGAGGCGCCCTCTACCGGCCAACACGTCGGCACGTACTAGCTCTCGATCGGCTTGGTCCGCGGCCTCGATCAAGGAGTCCTCGTATCTGTGGAGCTGGTCCGTGCGCATCATCTCACGGCAATCCTTTGAGCTGTATTGCAAGTGGTGGACAGCCCGCGGTCGAGATCCGTAGTCCTTGCCAAATGCTGGGCATGTGGACGTGATGCAGTATGCCCGAGCCGTGGCAATTATTTGATGGGCTCGGTGTTGGTGGCCAGCGAGGCCGCGCCATCCCCTGAACCACTTTTGACACAAGTCGCCCTGGAGAAGCTGCTGCGCCTGGGTCTGGGTCGAGCGTTGGGCTTCGGCCGCTTCGACTTCGGCAGCCGTTGGTGAAGGGGCTTGCTGAGCAATGACCCCCGGGCGATCTGGGAGGAGGGCGACCGCCTTCACAATCCTCTTCCAACGTGGGCGGGATGCTGTAATACAGCGTGCCCGCTGCGCCAGTGCCGCCGCTGGCGACGGCAGATGGCGTAGCTCCTTGGAATGCTCCCACAACAAGATGAGGTCAGTGAGCAGGAGGTGGGCGTGCGGCGGCCTAGGCTCCGCGCAATGGATGGCCCTGAGGTAAGCTGGGCCGTCAAGCAAAATCGGCAGCAGTCGTAGTCGCCTGCATGTGATCGCCATGTCCAGGGCGGAGTGTCCCAGCTGCTCGCGCACGTGGTCATCGCTGACGTCGGTGTGGCCGAATCGAGGGTGTCCTAAGATCTGCCGCAACGGCCGCATGTAGGCCGCCTGCGTGCGTGCGATGACGACGATGACGATGACGATGATGATGATGATGATGATGATGATGATGATGATGATGATGATGATGATGATGATGATGATGCTGATGCTGATTGTGATGATGATGCTGATGATGACGATGATGATGCTGATGACGACGATGACGATGATAATGATACTGCTGATGCTGATGATGTTGATGATGATGGTACTGCTGATGATGATGTTGATGTTGATGATGATGATGCTGATGATTATGATGATGATGCTGATGCTGATGCTGATGCTGATGATGATGATGATGATGATGATGAGGATGACGATGATGACGATGATCAGGATGAGGATGCTGCTGCTGCTGAGGAGGAGGAGGAGGAGGAGGAGGAGGATGAGGATAGGGAGGAACAGAGCGAGGTTGAGAAGGACGAGGTCAGTTTGAAGGAGTGGGAGGAGAAGGAGGATAACGGGAAGGACCAGGGCAGAGATGGTGAAGGAAGATGACGTGATGGAGGAAGAGGGGGATAACTAGCGGAATACATAGGTAGAGCACGATGTTGTTGCTGTTGTTGATGATGATGCTCATGACGATGGTGGTGGTTGGTGGTGATTATGATGATGCCGCTAATGATGATGGTGAGTCGGAGGAGGGAGGTTTTATGTTATATGTGCGTATATCGAAGACGGCTTTTTCTGGCATTTGCTTGCCCTCTTGGCCATTGTGATGGTAAGGTGTTCACAATCTGCTCTCCGATAAGCATAAACTGACTTGAGGGCCGTATGAGGGCCGTGCTAGTAAGTGTGATAGCTTGGGAGCCATGGCCCACCACTGCTCGTGCAATGGCGCATCGATCCATCATGGATGGCTACCACGACACTGGACACCAATCGGAGGAACGCCACGTGGCACATCAATGCAAGATCCTTGCCGTACTTGGCCTTGTCAGCAATGCTGGCTGGGTCTGCTCAATCCCGTCTCCAGAGTTGGGTCTCGAAGTTTCCCGCCGAGGGACGCAGAATTCCAGGCAGGGTCGCTCCGCGCTCCCCGGGCGTCGGAGCCCGGGGCCGCCGCCACCGCCGCTGCGGCGCTCTCGCGTGGCCACCTGGATGTGCACGAGCGGGCCGCTGGCAGGGGGGCTGGGTCAGTATCGTTTAACCGATCCCTATCCCCATCCCCGTCCGCATCTCGAGCCCCACCGTCTCACCACCTCAGTTGGGGATGTGCCTCTCGGAACCCGAAGAGAGCAGCCTGTATCCCCATCCAGGGGGGTAAATCGGCCAGTGGGGCCCAGCCCACGCTGGTGGGGATGGGGATCGGTTAAACGATGCTCGCTGGGAGAGTCCGCGCGGGCCCCCGGGGGGATGCGGCAGCACTGCCTTGAGCCCTGACGACTGCGAGGCAGTACTCATCGTCTGACGGCCTATGTGTCAGGCCCCGCGAGGTTCGCACCACGTCGGCAGGTGAACTCGGGCAGCGGGCTCCGCGGACGAAATCTCCTCAGAGGCTGGGCGAGCCTCCGCTCACGCGTGGCCGGCCGTTGCGCAGCCTGCCGCCCGTGGGATCGAGCAGTACAGTCGAAACATGGCCACAAGAGTGTGGGTCAAGAACATGAGCCCCTTCTCTGAAGGCCCAAAGCCGCATGCAGATATCTCAGATGAAGAAATTTCTTCCAAGGTCGAGAGCCTACTGTAAGTGCAAAGAACATCAGGGAGTACCCCTCCAATGGTGCCCTGAACAAGCCGAGCACATCGGGGGTGTGCTCGAAGCCTCGGCCGAGGCCGGGAAGCTGAACAGAGCCTGCGCCGGAGCCTCTGAGGAGATTTCGTCCTCAGAGGCTGCTGCCCGAGTTCACCCGCCGACGTGATGCGAGCCTCGCGTGGCCTGCACAAGCTTCCCGTGCGCTCCTTGGAGGGCTTGACCTTGCACCTGATGCACCACCGCTGCACTTCTTGGCCTGCCCTGGCAGGCGGCCAGCACGGTGTCTCCGTGCCTGCTCTGTCTTTTCTTCTTCTTCTTCTTCTTCCATCGACCATTGACTTCCTCACGCCCATGAAGTCGAGCCACGCTCGCCTGACAGCGGCCCAAATGTCGGCCGAGTTCGTAGGACGGTCTTTGGACAGCAGAGAGGCACGTTGCAGTGGGGGAGGACCATCAGGCTCCACCGCAGCTTCGAGTGTGCATGCCGAACTACCTGGCTCTCCACGTCCGGGCCGTCCTTTACCTGACTGCCACCATGCAAGTCCGAACACCGAGCGAATGTCACCGCACGTGGGCATATTGGTGCTGATGGGCTGTACCCAGATTAAGATTGCAATGCTGATCACCCGATCGGCATTTTATGACGACGTGGGACATATTGCGGCTGGACATTCGTGGGGAAACGCAGTAGAATTATGGTGCTCCATCAATCGAGGCAAGACGAGGATGCGGCAGAGTTGGAGGCGGAGAGGGAATAGGGAGAGGAGCGTCATAAAATGTATATGAGGAGGGTTGGATCGCCATGTCCGCCACTGCGTATGAGTAAAAATGCGTCAAGGCACCAGGCTCGAGAACCTGTGATTCAACTCAGCTTTTGCCCGTTCCTCTTCCCCGCCATGACGCATGATGATTGGATCCCTCATCGCTGCCCATCATTTCGGGCAGGGATCTTGAATCCTGCTTCAGCAAGCAAGACTTTCTTCAGAGGAACACGCGTGCGTGAGTTGTCCGCTGTATCTGGCAGAGGTCGACGTGTGTTGCAGGATGTCGTCGGGCCGAGTCCAGGAAGCTGGACACACGTGATGTGGCCGGCCTGCGCTGGGGCTGCATACGTGGGGCGCTCCAGAAAGGGCCTCGCCTTCGAGGGATCGAGAGGTTGACGTCTCCTCTCCGGAAGAAGGCAGCGGCAGGCGGCGGAAGTAAGACGAGGGGGGCTCCGCCGGCGGAAGGCTGGCCGAAGCCGGCGGAGGCAACAAGTATGTGGTTTGCTTTGCCGTTGCACGTTTTTTGAAGCTGTTTTTTTTGTGGGTCCCGGGAAGCCGCCATCTGTGATGTGTGGCTGCATGTAGTTCCAGCGTTTTCCTTCGCATGGCCAAGCAAGCCGGCCCTTCGAATGCGTATCCAGTAAGTCGCCTCCGCATGTTCCACATGTGGATGCGGCCACTTGTGTTTCCGGCTTCCTGCTAGCCCTCTCACCCTCTTCCCGCTTCCCCTTCTCAGGCTCCCACTCTCCCCTCTCACTCTCCCGCTCCCTCCCGCTCCCGCTTCCACTCTCGCGTCCACCTCTCGTCTTCTTTCTTAAGCATTCGCTTCGCTAACTCCTCCTCACTCTTCCTCTCCCTCTCTCTTTCTCTGTCTCTGTCTCTGTCTCTGCCTCTGTCTTTCTCTGTCTCTGTCTGTCTGTGTCTCTGCCTCTGCCTCTGCCTCTGTCTCTCTCTCTCTTTCTGTCTGTGTCTCTGTTTTTGTCTCCGTCTCTGTTTCTGTCTCTGTGTGTCTCTGGCTGTCTGTCTGTCTGTCTGTCTGTCTGTCTGTCTGTCTGTCTGTCTGTCTGTCTGTCTTTTTTGTTTCCCCTCTCTCTCTCTCTCCCTCAGCCGCCGCTACGCAGGGGAACCATCTTTCACCTTCCAACATGGTCCTCTCAAGTTCCAGGAGAAGCCAGCCGCGGCCAACCCGGTGGAACGTCAAAGAGACCGAGACCCTGGCCCAAAGTCGTCTGGGCCCCCCTCCGACGGCGAAAACGGGATCACAACCCTCTCGGGCCGCGTTGCGACCCGCACAGCCCGACGAGTCTCCCGCCACGACCGCCGCCTCGGGCACGAGCAGCACCTCACCGCTGGCCCTGGCTGCCCGCGGTCCCTCCGGCCAGGCACGGGCGGAGGACGATCCTCCGCGGGGGACCCAGACCTCCTCGCGTCGTGAAAAGACCACGGCGGTAGGTTTCTCGCTATCTTCGGCCTCAGGGGGCCCTCGCCGGGCCTCGGGACCGTCAACAAAACGACCCAGGATGAGAAACCAGTCCCCGGGGAAGAGGTCCAGACCTCCGGGGGTTGACGTGGTGAAAAAATCACAACGTGGAGGAGGATGAGGATGAGGAGGAGGAGGAGGAGGAGAAGGAGGAGGAGGGAGGAGGAGGAGGAGGAGGAGGAGGGAGGGAGGGAGGGAGGGGGAGGGAGGGAGGGAGGAGGAGGAGGGGGGAGGAGGAGGAGGAGGAGGAGGAGGAGGAGGAGGAGGAGGAGGAGGAAGCCATTTGGCCTCTTGCGGGCCAGCCGATCCCGATCGATCCATCGGGGTCGGTCGGCGCCTGCCGCCCGATCGATCGCGGTGGCAGGGCGCATCGCGCATCGGCCAGCCCCCGAGGCCGGGCTCACGCGCGCCGCGCGCCATCCTCTGCGGCAGGGGGCCACCCGTGCCTCCCTGCCCCCTGCCGCAGGCCGCGGCGCTCGCGGCCGCGCTGCGGCCCACCGGCGGGACGCCGCCACATCGCCGAGGAGGAGGCCCAGAGGGCGCCGCACACCGCCGTGAGCGGCAGCAGAGAGCCCAGGACAGGCTCCTGCTCCGCCTGCGGGCGGCGGCTGAGCGCCTGGCCGCCCATCACTCTGCCCAGCCAGCGATGGCACGAGATGGGAAGGGCAGAGGCAGCGGTGGCCGAGGCGGCAAGGGCCACGCCCAGGAAGGAGCATCGCCGCCAGCAGCGCCCCCTTGGCGCCAGGAGAGGTGGCAGGGCGCTGGATGGCAAGAACAGCAGTGGAACGCGGAGCCAGCAGGCGAGGACCCGCCCTGGCGCAGAACGCTTTCACGGCCGCGGCGCTCTGGCCAGGCCAGCCCTCGCCAATGGCAACCGCAGCAGCAGCAGCAGCAGCCCAGCCAGCCCCCATGGCAGCAGCAGCAGCAGCAGCAGCTGCAGCAGCAGCCCAGGGCGGGCAAAGGCGGCCAGGCCAGTTCCAGCAAAGCGGACCAGAGGGCTCAAAAAGTCATTGACTCCGTGGCAGCCTGCGCGCTGGACGAGGCGACCTCCCACCCAAAGTGGCAGGCGCCCCCAGCTGACCGCGCAGGCATCCAGAAGTTCCTGAGCAGTGCTGACCAGAGGCTGAGGAAACTTGGCGACCTGGTCGTCGCCAAGCAGGCCGCGGGCGACAGCACGAAGGAGCAGCTGATGGAAATCTCGGTCATCAAATACCAGAAGCTGGTCACGAGGAGGCCGAATGACCAGCTGCAGGTGCTCAGCAAGAGGCGCAAGGCCGTCAAACTTGAAGTCGTCGCCCTCGAGGCCAAGACGAACGAGCTGTGGGACGACCTCAAGGCCGAGCAGCAGGAGTTGAGGCAGCTCGAGTCCAACATCGCCGACGTGCGGGCCGTGCTCGCCGACGGCGGCGCGGCGGACGACGAGGGCGACTGGGGCGCGGACGGGTTCGGCTTGGCACCGAGCTGGGATGCCTTCTACAAGGCCGTGATCGACAGGCGCCTGCACAGCGAAGCACCTGGTGACGGATTCCCAGCTTGGCCAGCGGGAGTGGTGGGGCGATCGCCACGCTCAAGAGCCAGCTCGGCAGGCAGCGCAACCAGAGGCTTCGCAGATCAGGTGGCCAAGGCGAATGCGGAGCGGGCCCACCAGCAGCAGCGCCATGCCGAAGCCGAGCAAGAGTTTGCTGCCGAGCTGGCGGAAGTCAGGAGGGTCGCCCGAGAACAAGCACTCCGCCACAACGGCGAGCAGGCGAAACTCAGGCTGGCACTCAAGGAGGAGTCAGAGCAGCTGCAGCGCATCACCGCAGCGGAGAGCGCAGCCCAGCAGCAGCAGCAGCAGCAACACAAGGCCCTCCGCCATGTGATCAAGAAGCAACAAGCCGAGCAGCTCGAGTTCGCGACGCAGATGGAGGCCAGGATAATCAGCCATGACACAGCCTTCAGTCAAGCCAAGGCAGAGGCCGAAGCTGCGACCCACCGGGCAAATCACCTGCATGAGCAGCTTGAGCAAGTTCGAGCGGAGCACCGGGAGAAGCCGCAACCCCAGGACAGGGTCTACCAAGACCTGCTGCGGGCAAGAGCCGAGGCGCAAGAGGCGCTGCGACGGGCCCAGCACGAGAGCGCCCAAGCGAGAGCTACAGCGGGCACTCTCAAGCAGCAGCTCGCCAGGCAGGAGCTGGTCATGGAAGAGAAGTTCCAGGGGGCCAAAAAGAACCACGCCCTCGAGCTTGAAGCTTCCACCGAATCAGCCAGGGTCCAGGCAATCGCCCAGGCCCAAGTGGTTGCCAATGCCAAGGGAAAAGGGGCCCTTCCGCCGGCAGAGGCGGCCAGGCTGCAAGGGATCGTTCAGACAGCAGCGCGGCAGCAGGAGCGGCTCAAGCAGACCAAAAGCGAGCTCGAGGCAGCTGAAGCCCGCATACACGAGCTCCAGCAGTACTCCAAGCTTGAGGCGGGCGCTGCGCAGCGTGCA